TCACAGGAACAGGAGGGGAATCTGCGACTTGGGAAGAAGCCTCTGAGCTTCAGGGAGCTTCAGTGTCAGGGAGCCAGTAGCTGTGGCTGGGAATGGGATTTGTTCTCACTGGTGTACTGTGACAAGGAAGGGCTCTGAGGCCAGATGTCTATGATCACAAACAAGGGAAGAGGTATCTTTACAAGTAGGATTGGGACTCACCACCCAAAATCCTGTCCCGAATCATTCTTGAACATGAATCCATGATTCAGGTTTTCAGAGGTACCTGGAAAGGTAGCAATAGTCTGTGGTCTTTGTAGCAGATTAGTCTAGCACACTTACCTGGAAAGATGTTGTCTGTGTGTATTCGATAATTTTCTGTGACCGAGAGGGGTTCAAATTCACATATATAATTCTGCAGCAAAAATTACCTACACTTCTTAGAAACTGAGTTTTTCTGAGTAATGGCTATGCTTTCTTTTGAACTCAGCATTGCATATGGTCTGAGTTATCCTACTGGCTCAGGTATCTCTTGGTCTATAGACATCAATCGTGGATGTTAAAGAAATTTAGATTTGACATAAATACAGAGATTCTTTGCCCCACCAAAATGTGCTTTACTCTGGATAGGCACAGTAGGAGAATTTTAGGAGACAATTTTGGCTGCTGTAGTCCTGCAGGACTGACCTTTCTAGGCACACTTTAAATACCAGCTTGGGCACCTATCTACTCAGTCACTTTAAATACCAGTTTGGGTACCTATCCGCAGAGAGAACTGGGTCCAGAGCCAGTTCTGAGCCAGCAGTTTTCAGTTGGAGCGAGGTTGTTCTAGAACAGCTGAGGGGCAATATCCTTGAACTATTCCCTCTTAGCTCTGCTCTATTTCATATATTCAAATAAGCAAGACTCGCTTTTAAACATCAGTCACAACTTGCTTTTTTTAAATTAAATTGGCTTCTTTTCCTACAGTTTTACCCCGGGTTCTGTGAAAATTTAAGCTGTGAAAAAACAGGAAATGAAAATGATATAACAACTTAATTTCTATCCCTTCCCTTAACATGCTTCTTTCCACAAAACCCGCTGATTCTCCACTATACAAGTAATCTAGACTAATGATTGGTTGTGTTGAGTAGCAAGCCAAGACCTGAGATAAATTTGCAGAGTTTTTGTTCTGGATGCTGTACTAGCACTTTCTGAAAGACTGTTGTTTTACTGAAGAAACTATAAACTAAAAAATGGAGCTTGTAAATCAAGTGATGGCACATACATGTGATCTTTGAAATATAGTCTTAGTGAATCATGTTACATTAAAAACATTGATGTGCAGTTAGATTTTAATCCACTTTTTCCTAAATGTCTAGATTATTTATGGTTTTCTTCATTCCCTCGTTGCTTTATTTTCTTCTTTCACAAAAGTGTGTGCTTGAGCAAAAGGGGCTATTTCTGCCTCAATTATACTTTCCAGAATGCAAACTTTGTTTCTAGTGTTTAGTTTCTTTCCATGTTTTCATTCTGAGTCTTCCTAAACCAAGATTTTGCAATAGGAATAAACTTCTCTTAACTTTTGCTCAGAAGCTGAACTTTTGAAGTGAATATAATTGTTTCAATGATAAGCTGTCACTTCTGAAAAAAATAATAAATATATTCATTTTTTCTTCCTATTTTTTTAATATGATGCGTTTTAACAGTATAGATAAAGGTGTGTGTGTAACAGTTGTCCTACATGGGAAATGGCCAGAAATCTGTTGGAAAAGTCTGTGTATCTCTGAAGAAAAGCAGGTCTTTTCTCCAGCTGGGAATCAGGATAATGAAATTCTCCCTCCACGGATTATTTTTTCCAAGGACTCCTGTTACTTAGCCATCTGCAATGTCCCCTCTTGAAGTGCTGAACTTAAACCTTTTTATTCATAGTACAGAAGCACTATGAGTATCTTTGGGGTCTTTAAGACCTTCAGGACCCTATTGAGATGCAGAAGTTAATGGCGCAGACAGTTCTATCAGACAGGAAGGCTCCTTCTGCAGTAACATGTTGTGGAAATGTTCCTCCTGGTAACACCCTTGTAAAAAGCTACACATAGCTGAAGGCAATTGCTCTAGTGTGTTGAAACCATTTTATTTCAAGCAATTGTGAGACTGAGATCCAACAATACTACTATTTGTTACATGAAATTTCATTAAAATTGCATTCAGAGCAGGCTTCGGTTGGGACCAGAAAATAGCCCCCAGTTCAAAAGCTGCCCATTATCCATCTGGAGCAAGTGAAGTACAGTTCCTGTAATGTATTATGTTTTTGGATGCTGAGACATACATGTGAAGTAGGATGTATCAGAGTACATGTCAAGCTATAACCTCTGACAGAGTTATGGTCACTTTCTGAAAGTTCACTTAGACAAAGCCAGGCCCTTTTAAACATGCATGTTTCATGGAGTATGCTTCCTAGGAATGTCTGGGAAAGGAAGGGCAAGTGATTTAGAAGCAGTAATAATCTAAGCATTAAAAATAGTTGTAGGTGCTCAACCCCATGTACCTTTTAGTTGCTTACACAAAGCCTGTAGGGACATGGCAGGTGACTCTACCACAGTCAGTTTGTAAATGAATCTCTAGATGGAGCCAAAAATGCATGAGTTTTGTAGACAATAAAATGAACTCAAGATTTTTTCTACTGAAGGCCTACAGCTATGAGAAACCATCCGATTCCATACCAGATCTTTATATCTACCTGGAAATTACTGAGGTTCCTTAGTGGGTTTTTTAGGGCTTAAAGCCTAAAAAATTGCAGTGCTAGTAGTCTAAACAATTGCATATCAGGACATTTTACTACATATTAATGGCTAATGTAATGCTAGGATCCCTTATCTCACTGTCAATCTGCACCTGCGCATCCATTACATGCACAAAATCAGTATGAAAATCTCATGGTGTGTCCTCCAGTATTGGCCTGCACATTAAAATTTTCTGAATTGTAAGCATTGATAAGCGCTAGTCACACCTGTTCCCTTTTGGTGCTGTGTTTATGATGTGATACCTGGTTTGCCATTTACTAGCCCACTGATTTAGGAAAGCATTTACCAGCTTTGTCGTATGTTCAGGCTTAAGAATCTCAACACTGTTGTTGCCTCAGGTACCTGTTGATAGTTTAGGACAGACCAATGCTTAAAATCTCTCTTTTCCTTGAGAAAAGAAATTGCAGAGTACAAATATAACATTAAGGAAAAATAACCCCTGATTGGTTTTATATGTTATTCTTGATTATTTTCATAATGTATACCATAACGGACTGTTTAAAGAGACTATTTAAAGTTGTGTTTGCTTTCATTTTCCCCTCACACAACTTCACAGAAATGTGTGGTTTCACAGACTCATAATGGTAACTGATGTCCGTGGAAAAGTAGGAAAGCATCTGTGTTAAAACTGACCAAATTTAAACCAACTTTATGAGCTCTCAAAGTCCTTTTGTGCTCAGAACCTCCTCTGTCCTGCTGTCTTACTGGAGCTGAAGGTAGCTGCACTAAGGGACTGCACTTTTCCAGCCAATCCTGTAACAAAACACAGCGAGTTTGTGCCACATTAGGTTAAGACTAAGAGAAAACTACAGCTCTCAAAAATACAGCTTTCTTCACTGTTTGTGAAAAACTGCTTAAGACTGTGTGATCTTGGGATCATGAAACAATTGCAGCCTCACAGTTGCTTGCTTTCTTGGCAAAAAGATAAGATCCCAGCAGTTACTGTGCTCACAGGTGCTGCAGAATACTCAGTGAAACAAGCCAAGAACCATGAGCTTTGCCTTGAATGGAACCCTTCTGGCACTAATTCTTGCAGAGATCCAACTAAGTAACCTCAGTTGCTCAGTCAAAAGTCCCACACCACCTCATTTTATTTCTGACTTCATTGCATGAGATAACTGCTCTTTTCAGACACCGATACTCATGTGCAGAGTGACCTAGAAACTTTTTGCCCCAGTTAGTAGAGGATCTTTACTCCTATCGTGGGACTGATGGAAGAACTGCAAGTGTGTCCATCTCTCAGCAGACTCAGCTGCAGGGCAGTAACTGCCTTTGCTCAATCTGTCACTGATGAAAGGTGTCCATTAGACACAAAATGTGAAAGCAATTATTGGCACTTTTTCAAGGTAATAAAACCACGGTCTGTTCCAGTGATTTATTTCTATCATAATGACCTGCAAAGAGAGAATGAGGTAGATCTGGTTAATGTATGCAGAGACTGGCTTTGCCATTATCTGCTGTTGAATGTGGATAGCAGCACTAGGTGATATGGCAGCTCTGTTTCTACTGTGGTATTCCTCTATGATCTCTGGCAAAGCACCAAGAGCCGATTTAACATTCGCAGTGAAATGTCAAATAGTAGAACTTTATCTCTAGCCTCAGAGAAGCAATGATATGTGATTTATGTGAACAGAAAAGTGTGCTCTGTAGTGACAAGGAGCTAACTTTAAAGTAAATGAGAACTTGGATGACTAATAGAGATGAATAATGAAATAAATAGTTTGAAAGGAAGCTCTTTAAGTCAATCATCTGCTCAAAGTACAGTAACTTCAAAGTTAGGTCAGGTTGCTCAGAGCCTTGTCCCTTGAGTTTTTAAATTCTTCAGGGATGGAAATTATACAGTATTTATCCATGATACCCAATTATTCTCATGTAATTCATTTTCCTTCTTGCACTATATGGCAGTTGCCTCTTTTCCCCTTTGCTATGCACTTCCATGATGATAAAGTCTGAATCCATTCTCTCTAAACTCTATTTAGGTATTTCAAGACTGAAATTAGAATCCCCTCTCTCTTCTCCTTTAGCTTTCTTTTCTACAGGCTAAACAAACGCGGTTCCTTCCAAAGTATGTCCATGGCAGGGGGGTTGGAACTAGATGATCATTAAGGTCCTTTCCAACCCAAACAATTCTGTGATTCTATGATTCTGTGAGTCTGTGGTTCTATGATTCTATGATTCTACATGCCATCTCCCTGAATACCTTAGTAACCCTCTAGATTTCCTGTTTGTTGATATATTTACTGAGAAGCACAAAACTGGGCACAGTACTCCAGATGTAGCTTCATCAGTGCCAGGTAAAGGGAAATAATTCCTTTCTTCTGTCTAGTTGCCACGCTCTAGCTAGCATTGGTCAATATATAGTTAGCCTTCACAATTGTAAGGGCTCATGTCCGCCAGGACTTGCATCTTTTTTACTGAAGTCTAGATAGACAACATCCACACCCTTTCCCTCACCCACTAAATGGATCACCTGGTCATAGAAAGAGATAAGGTTGGTCAAGCAAGACCTGCCTTTCATAAACCCATGCTGACTGAGCCAGATCCAGTGGTTGTATTGTATGTGCTGCATGATGGCACTCAAGATGATCTGCTCCATACCTTCCCTGGCAGTGAGCTGAGGCTGACAGACCTGTAGTTCCCCAGAGCCTCCTTCCAGCTCTTCTTGTAGATGCTTCACATTTGCTAACCTCCACTCAACTGGGACCTCCTTGGATACCCAGAACCACTCACAAATGATGGAAAGTGGCTCAATGAACATTTTCACCAACTTCCTCAGAATTCTTGGATGGATCCCTTCGAGCGCCACAGACTTGTGTGCATCTATGCAATACAGCATGTTGCTGAGCGTCTTCCCTTGGATTATGGAGGCATCATTCTGTTCCCTGTCCCTCTCTTTCAGCTCAGCGGACTGATTACCCCAAGAACAACTGGTCCCACTATTCCTCCCTCCGCACAGTGTGGGGCTTGGGCTCTTGTCTCTCTTTATGAAGGTTCTATCTTCTGTTCATCCTCTCTGATGCTACTGTATGCTCAGCTCCTTTGTTGTTCCTTCAACTGGTTGCTCGACTGATGACTTAACCAGGGCCCACTTCCAGCAGGTGACACTACTATAGTCCCGGCAAGTGTTCTCAGGGAGTGGCACCCAACACTCTTTGCAGACTGAGACCTGTATGGTTTCATCCTTCTTTCAAGTTCTGTCCAAAGGTGAATCTCTCACAAATGCATCTCATACTTCAACTTCCCATAATAGGGAGACAGATCATGTGTTAAGTACATGAGTATGGACAGTCACCTCACAAAAATACCTTGATTGCCTCCCCTTTTGAATTGTATTGATCTTTACTGCATGACTACATGCAGTGGTTTGCTGTTGTGTATCAAAGGGACCTCGGATTTCTGCGGTGTGACCTCCTGCCCCTTTTACCCATGTCTTCTCTTTTTATCCCTCTAGTCTGTTCATAGCCCTTGCCTCCAGGTATGAACAGAGCTTGTGTGGGCAAGGACACTTCTGTTTTCAAAATCCCTGTGTTTTACTGCTGAGATCTAATGACAGTATGAAAGATACAGGGATGCTGGAAAAGAAGCCTCAGTTCACACTACCATGAAAAATTGATTTCCTCTGCTTTTAACAGCTGTAACTGTATGTTTCCTAATTTTCTGTGTACCTGCCCAGATATCTCAGGCTATGACTTGCAAAAGCCTTGAGAACTCACAGTAAGAGTAATCGGATCTACATTTTTGCATATGAAGGGCTACTCATTGCAAGTGCCTTGAAAAAACCAGAACCAGAATGCCTCAGATTAGGCAACCAAAATCAGCAGGTATTTTGAAATGTACCCTTTGTGTGTGGAATGCCACTCCTCTACCACAACGGTAAAATAAATTACTTTGTGAGACACATGCACGCACTGTAGTGAGAAAAACTCCTAAGAGAGTTCATAGCTCTGTCTTCAGAACAATATGTATTAAATCATTTTGAGGGCCACACACTGAGTATCAAAGGGAAAACAGTACTGGATTATTGTTCATTAAGTGAGCATCGTTCGTCTGATGCACCAAAGGAAACAGGAGTTCTGCTGAATAAAAAGCCTGTGACTATATAATGACATTACATCTTATTATAAGAAAGTGAGGGAAGAAGATGACTTCCACGATATAAACTCTAGTATTAGTAATTTATGGAGAGCTTATGCTAGACATAACATTACCACCACAGTTGTCACCAGGGAAGTGTTTGCCTTTTTGCTGAATGCAGACCAAATCCAGAATGTCTTATGTCCCCTACTCAATATATAGCACAGCAACATCCTGCACTGTTGCTTTTTTTTTAGAGTTACATCACCAATTGTTTAACATCCTTTCCTGCCCACCACCATTTCCCCATTCATTTTTCCATCTGTCATGCATTAATGACCTTAATTTATCTGATGAAGATTATTACAGTGATGAAAGCATAACTATTGAAAGGAGGCAGTAACATCGTTAGGCTTGTCAGCTGGAGGAGATGCTGGATTTCTGTGGACTAGCATTTGTGACTTTGTGTCTGTCAAACTTGGTTACTTTTATGAGGCTGAAATCCTGACCTTAATATTTTCTGCCTTCTTGCTGCCTATTTCTGAAGGTTACGTAGTCATTATCTTTCTCCAACTTGAGTGAATTTATCTCTCAAGGATGAAGGATGGGGAAAGGAGGTAATGATGACAGTTAGCAAGCTGTGACAGATCATACTGAAACATCTCAGCTACCAAAAAGCCAGCACCTCCTCCACTTGATGATCCTGCTTCTGACTCTTCACCTTCCACACCATACACTGTCCTTGTGTATTTAGATTGTACTTAAGTCCCTGTATTCATCTTCATTCTATTACATTAATTCTTAAGGTAAAAATTGCTTTGATGTCTGCTGACTTGCTAATCACTGCGCTTTTTAGGAACACAAGCTTCACAGACAGAAGCATAACTGCTTTGTGACATTGGGGTGGATGAAAATAATGTTACACTTATATTTGTCACCAACCTCCTAAGTCTTCTGATACAAGAAAATAAGTTATCCTTTGTCAGTTTTGGCGAAGTGGTCCAGTTCAGTTTAGTCCATCAGTGAAGGTGGTTTCAGCTAACATACTTGACTGCCAAGGGAGTAGGGAGCTCCCTTACATATATTTTGCATGAACCTGCAGAGGTTGTGCCCTCCAGGTAGTGGGCAGGAATAACAAAGTAAGGGCAGTATCACTAGAGCTGAAAGTGGACAACTTCTTTAGGATTAATAACAGTGATCCGTTGAAGTCAGCCTTTTCTACCAGTAGGAAGCAGAATAAATTATATCAGGAAAAGAAACCCAGCTTAGACTGTGTGCTTTTTCTTAATGGATTCAGAACAGTCTCAAGACAGGAACTGAATGAATTTACCTGCTTATGCCAGATATCCAGCTGCTATAATGAGGGTTACAAAGACTCGTGCATCCAGGTTTCCTTTAGCACTCGAGATCACAGTGCTGGCTCCCTGTCCTATGGGATAAAGGATTAATATAAATTGTAAATATTTCTTTCCAAAACAAACATTATTTTGAGACACACAGGTACAAGTAGGAGAAACCACTTTCCATCATCATATGTTCCTGGAGACTTCAGTATGTGAAATAATTTTTTTTCTCCTATCCATATTTACACAGGAGAAATGTAATTAGAGGTTGGGATAAAGGAGGCTGTAAGCAAGCAAAACAATAGCAAAACATTAGCTTTAGTAATTCTTGCTGTATTTCTTGTTCCAAGAAAGAAACAACTATTTTTTACTGATATTGCACCACAGGAAGAGTGCAAGGGCAACAACAGGGATCTTGGGCTGATGTGATAGTTTTACATGACAATAGTTTTCTTGAGGTAGTCTCTCTAGGAGTCAGTCTATTGCAAGATCTCATCTATTACTGGTGAGAAAGAAAAGAGAACACCCACAGACAGTCTCTTCTGGGAAGTGGGCAAAATGATGGTCTGGTGTTCTTCCAGCAAATAAACTAACAGCAGCTAGATTTCAGTCTGCTGCAGAGATTTCTCACAGGCAGATTCTCCCTCAGTGGAATCAGGTTAACTCTTTTTGTTTGTTCAGTGTTTTTTTTTTAAAACTGCATTACTTTACACAGGAAATACTCAGATTAACAAAATACTTCTAAAAATGGTCAATATTATATTTTTTTAGTGAGACATGCAAGGACCTAGAGTAATAAGGGCTCCATTACTCAAATTATGAAGAGAAAAACTTTGAAAACATGGTTTCTAAGACAGGTTATGGGTAGCATGTTATGAGTGCCTCTGAGTAACTCTTACATGGAGTGGTTTAAGCTAAACTGATCTTTTTGGTGTTACTTCTGGTTTAACATTGCTAGTTGGAAGTAGATGTTGTGCAGAAATCCTACTGAGTAGTAGTCTGCACTGTAGATTAAGTACATAGACAAGTCAGATTGGTTTGTTTTAACAAGAGCTTATAAAGACAGACTTTACCTAGCTGTTGTACATGAACAACACATATCAGTATAGTAGGAGGAAAAAAATGACCCTGACAGAAAACAGTTATGATGGAAGAAAGACAGTCAAGAGTATAACAAGGTAGAGGTGTTTTATTTTACTTCCTTCTTTTTTTTTTTTTTTTTTTTTAAAAAGGGTGGGAAAGAATAAACAGTGAAGCAATGCCAAAGAAACCTAATATGTTTTAAGGCTTATTCCTTACAGGATTCAAAAATATTTTAAGTAATGTTCGATACAAATGGAAGGCAAAAAATCCTTCAAAAAATAAAATTAAATCCTTCTTTTTCCAATAAAATAATTTTAATTTAAAGCAAAGCTATCAGCTCTAATCTTTATTAGAACACCCCTATTAGGGACACACAAGCTGATGTCCTTCCCCACAGTCACAAAGACTAAACCAAAGCAGTTCAGGATGGTTTGTCATGAGATCATCATCTAAATACACTTTCTCTAAAGATCTTCCATCTTGAGTATTCCCTCACTCCCATTCTAAACTTAGGAGGGAAAAATTTGAAGTTTCTTTTTTTGACATCTTTTACTACATTTTTTCCTTTCACATATGCTTCTCTCTCTTTAGTGACATAATTCTCAAGTCTTAAACAGAGTTTTGAAGAACAATGTCTTTCTAAAGTACTTTCACTGTCTTAGTTATCCATCCAAATCTAAATGCTGTTGCCAGTTATTTATTTGGGAATTACTCAAACCAGAATGATTCAGCTCATGCAGCTGGCACAGGTTCAGGAAAACTGATAGGCTGAACTTGATCAGATTCTTATCAGTTAAAATGTATTAAGCTTTTTAAAACATTTTAAAACTATTGCCTAGTAAAGGTCAATGGAAAAGCCCATGTAATGACAAGAAAAAGTTATTTTTGGATATTAATGTGTTGTCTATCAATTCTTGATTGTCCTTGTTTAGCAAAAACTAGAAGAGACATGCCATAGCACTTATGCATGAAGCTAGAGCTAGTGCTCTTTAAACAAAAGAATCAGCATGAGAGCTCTGAGCATATTCTAAAACTAAAATACTTTTGGGGTCTTAAATATTTATTTTAAGGCTGAATCTAATTCTAGACTTCAGAGTTGCAAGACTGTTTACCAAATAAGGCATCAGATTGCTTAGTTTCTTTGAGATAAGCCATTTATTTCAATACTATTTAATGGTAATTCAATGAACCAAAACTTGACATATTCAGAACCAGCTGTTCAGAATTAGACTGCACAATTTTCCATATTCCAACAAGAAAAGTAGGAACAAAATTATGTTTTTTGTTTTGGTTTTCTGTATTTTCTATTATGGTTACAGAATGTAATGTAACTTAAAAAGCCACCGGATTTTTTTATAATGCCAAACCACCCAATTGACAGCATTAAAAACACAATTTCATGAATCAGATTCAATCTATAAATTGAAACCAAACTCTACAAAGATCCAAGTAATTACAAGTAATTATGGAATAGACCTTTACAATAATAAAACTAAATAGTTTGTGCTGAAATGACCAAGAAAAAGATCTTGGCCTTGGTAAATGATCTTTACTTGTGGGACCATGGAAAAGCTTTCCACCCTATCTCAGCTAACAAGCTAAAGACATAAGTAGGTTCCTGGGTATTCAGGATTTTAAAGATAGTTTAGAGGTAGTTATACAATAGTATTAGGATATTTGTATCCTAGAAATTCTAGGAAGGATTTCTAGAAAAAAGTTCTTCTTTGTCATAGGGAAACAGCTGAAGGGCCCAGCCCAGGGCAGAACATTAAGTGCAACCAGCTGCATTCCCTGGTTCAGGGAGCTCTGCCACAGGCATCAGAACTGCTGGACTGATATTGTCAAACAAAGTGAAGACATGTGAGTACAGAAAACAATCTAATGGCCTGAAGAGAGGGCAGAAAGATGGGAGCACTGACATCCTGGCTGGTTGCTTTAATTCAGATTTAGCCTTAAGAACACAGGATCAGGAGTAGCATTCAGGGTAAACGATTCATGAACTCTGTTTGATAAAGATGGTCAGGTCAAATGCCACGAAAGTTTTTCAGGAAGGAGATTGTCCTTAATATCCATAAGATGATCTGATTGTAGGTCAAATTTCTTAGAGGACTGCAGGACACTGCAATTGAACAGCATGATAACTGAGAGGATGACTAGATAAACACCTGAAATTTGGAAAATCAAGAGAAAAATGATAAATAATTCAACTTCAGGAAACAACAGTTCTAGCTCTCTAAATGAAACATATGAGAAGGAACAAACTTTTATTGCAGCAACAGAATGATATCATGGGCCATATGTTCAAATATTGATTACATATTCAAGAGTTCTCTGAACCTGCAAAGGTTCATTCTGCAAAGTTGTACATCCAAATCCTCCAAAAAACTAGAGGAAAACATTAAACTAAATATATTTGACTTGGACTGGAGCATAGCCTAATGCAGCTATCTATATTTCAATTTCTGTTTTGAATTTTAGCTGACAGATAGAGTTAGTTAAATTCAAGTTAAATTCAATTAAATGCAAGAAAAAGTGAAGAATATGTCTTTCAGTTTTAAGCAGAAGTTTTGAGCACCAGTTAAACAACTCTATTCAAGTACTTGGATCCAGACAGACAAATTCTTCAACTACAACTGTACAAGCAAACACAATTTTGGTAAAGCCTCTGAAAACAGAGTCCTGACCAGATAAAGTCATGAGGAACTGTCACAGAACAAGTGGGTTTCTCATTTTATCTTAACTAGACAGAAAAATTAGTTGTTGAGGAAATACTCTAGGAAAACAGAGTAGAGTTCGTTAAGTATACAACATATTGGCAAGACATCAAAACTAAAATGTCATGAAAAGTTGTAGCAATCTAGGCAAGTAGAAAAAAAAATTTTGTCAAAGACTGATACAAGTAAACTTCAACATGCTAGAGAATGATCATATCCACTTGAAAGATCTGGCCTCTTTGAAACAAAGACAGATGAAAGTACATGACAACCTTGAGATACATGAGGCAGTTGATAAAAAATTAAAACAATACAGAACAGGTTTTTCAAATTATAAAGCCCAGGCCTGGTTAGCCAGTCAATTCCCTTTACTGGCAAAATGTCCTGAGGCTAGTTTTGAAAACCATCCATAAGTATTTCATTTAGCTGCATTGCAAGAGGAAAGAAAAATACATAAAAAGAAAAAAACAAAACAAAACAAAAACCCCACAGGTTTACTAAAAGCTTAGTCATGAGGATAGTCTCTCAGAGAAGGATAGAAGGTTTATAGCCTGATTCCTGAGTATGCTTCTTTGCAATAATGAGATATAAAGAAAGTAGGGAAAATTATATAACAGTTGCCAAGGTATCAGTATCACAGCATCATTTATGTACAATCAGCTTATTTTATATAGTTTTATCTGTTTCATTCACTTCCGTCACCCATAGATGCTGACCTGAAATGGAATAAACCTACTTTTTGACTTTACAATAGAGCAACTATTTAGCAAGCAAAATGTAACTTCCGTGCTGGACAAGACCTAATGATTTATTGATCACAATTTCTTCTTTTGATAGTAGTTGACGTCTAGTACTTCATGGAGAAGCAGAATTTTATCTCCCCAACAATAAATTACCTAACTACAGACCTTTTTAGTCTGTACATTATCTATTCACTTTAAAAATTCAACCTGTGCCTAAATTTGGGATGTCTTTCAGATCTCCATTCTACAGATTAAGCATTTCACTTACTACTGTGTTCAAAACAACCTAGGCATTTTGTGGAGTGATTCCTTCATTTTTTTGCTCCAAAGACTGACATCCACACAGTGTAACTTCACATATTTTTTTCCCCACAATTTGGCACTGCATGTTGAAGAAGGTACTAGCATTATCTTCCTAAATTTAGGGTGAAACCTTTGACAGATCTTAAAAGGTCTGAATGGTTTTCAAGGCAGTTATTGTATTTTGACAAGTTTCAGAGTTGGTTTGCATACCCTGGCATTTTTCTGCAAATCCTGCAAAATCGTTTGCTAATTGAAGGAGATAAAGAAATTAGTCACTATAGAGAATATTCCTTATGAAGGTTTCAGATCAAAGATGCACCTCATTTTTTTGGCAATAGAATGGCTATTTGACATTAGTGTGCAACACTTAAAGACTAATTTAGTTTCCAAGAAGCTATCCACAGACAGGGAATTTAACAAAGGTATTCGTTCACTGCTTTTCTAGCCATCTCATTTGAAATAACATCTTGAGCCACAAACAGCTACAATCTAAAGGGTGTATAATTTGAGAAGCATATTTCAACTTAAAACTCAGTTTCTCCTGATTTTCACGTCTAATGGTGCTGCTACATGTGATTAAGAAAATTCACAAGAGGTTTTGTTTGTTTGTTTTGTTTTAAATTGTCTGAACATTTGCAACTCTTGATTTGGAGAACTGGACTGTTGTCCTTACAAGAGATTTGGATAACACTGGAAATTGTGAGGACGATGGGGAGCAGGGACAGAGCATGCAACTACTAATCAGAAAGTATGAAGAAAGAAATTATCATTAGTAATTAGAAATGAGATGTTGGATGCCATTCGAAAACTACAGGTCGGGAATTGTCTTTCTGTGTGTTCAAAGAGTTTGGTAAGACATCCAAAGGCCTGGAAGCAAATCAGGGAATATCGGATTCCTAGCTGTGCACAATGTGAAGCATCACTCCACTAGTTTTCACTGATGAATTTAGAGGAATATTTGACATTCAAATAACTTTTAGACAATTGGTGACTTTGGAAGAGGGCTAAGGACAGCACATATCTCGTGACAGACAGCATGCTGAGCTGGCAGATGCCAACACCAGACTTAAAAATTTTGGTTCCCTCTCATCAAGTAGGACCTTCATGTCACAAAGATTGCCTAGTTACTTTGTAGAAAATTAGGCATCTAGTTAGGGTCAATTCTTAATACTTAGCATAAAAATATTCACAAAAGCTAGATTTAGGCACAGAAGGTTGTTTACTCTTATTGATGAAAAGACAAACATATTTTTGCAATTTAGTTTCAATTTCTACAGATGATTCAAGGCAGAAGACCCTTGCTACCCCCTTAGTTCAATTTAATTTTTTTTTTTGTGAATACTCTTTTTCTTTTGTGATGATTGAAGGTTTTTCTTCCCATTTGAGATTCTAAGAATTCTTCCAGCATTGCTGCAAGGTTTTTTTTATTGCATTTTGCAACCAGCTGTGATCTGTAAATCTATTAGAAAGAGTGTCAAATGTCTATTGTTTGGTCCTTGAGCAGCACAAATCTTACATTTTTTCTTTGTTTCCAAATTCACTAATACTGTCATCTCCAGAGAAAGCTTCATAAATACAATCTGGCATATACAAATAAATTGAGTTGTGCTCGTTTCCCTAGATATCTGGGGTATAAAAGGAGAAAACCAAAGAAACCTACTGAGCAATTCTTCTCAACATGTTCTTAAGAAACTCAAAGCAGAGACCATCTGCAGACTGCCATAAATAGAAGGAACATACTTCAGAGGGTGCATTCTCTTACCATTTATACCATCAGTGTCTTAGCCATAGCTGAGGTAGGGAAGCTCAAAGTTCCAAGTTTACTGCAGAATCACACATACTGGATTTTATATGGGAGAAACTATGCCACCCAGTGGAAGCTTAAAATCATAGAAGAAAAAGCACTGAGGGAGAAAAGGGGAAAAAGATTTCCCTGATATTTCAAATTAAAAAAGTGAAATCCATGATAGAACAATTTACCATCAAACGATTAAGAAAAAGTATATGAGGAAACAACTCTGATGCTCATAGCTGATTTCATTAACACCAGACAAAAAAAAATCTTCATGTTAATTAGAACTTCCCAAAGACATCTAACCAGATCTCTGGTGGAAGTTCTATATGCCATGAGCAGACCTGTTGGAATATGGTGCAGCGTCTATTACTTTGGAGTTTCTCTTCCAAGGAAAATAAGTTACAAAAAAGATGATATAGTGGAAGAGGCAGCCTACCTAACTGATCATCTCAACAGAGCAACTCCCTGGAACCTTGAAATAAAGACAGAGAACAACCAAGTGCTTTGGAAAAAGTATGAAAATGTGGTTAAAACAATTTCTACAGACAAAATAGAGTTAGATTTGAAACCTCTGTATTTCATTTTGTCCTATCTCTATCGCCTTGCAGTCATTTATGATCACATTGAGAAAGCTTGTTTTGCCAAAGGATTTTAAAAAACCTCAACAGTTTCCATTTTGTTTGGAGATATTTTTCTTTCATTTATGCATCACCGTATTGGGGCTACCTGAGGTGATGTTAATTTGTTCCATAGCAGCCCTCACAATGCTGTTACTAGTATTGGTAGCTGGAAAGGTGTTGATAACACACCACTGTGTTGGCTGCTGCTGCTGAGGACTGCTCCCACAGCATCAAGGACATCTCTACAGCATTCCCCTCTCACCAGTCGGCAAGATCTTGGGAGAGGACACAGCCAGTACAGTTGACTCAAACTGACCGAAGGAGTGTCCCATACCATGCCACATGTGCTCAGTAAAAAATGTCAAGAGAAAGGAAGTGGGGTGAAGATGGAGTGGGCAGTGGGGGGGCCATTGTCATTAAAGACATTTGTCTTCTAGAGCAACTGCTACACATACTGAAGCGTTTGTCCTAGGAAGTGGCTGAACATTACCCGTTGATGGGAAGAGGAGAGTAAATCATTTGTTTTCCTTTGCTTTGGCACACAGTCCTTACTGTTGCTTATTAAACTGCCTTTTTCTTGACCTACAATTTTTTTTTCCATCCTGTTTTGTTCCCCCTTGTCCTGCTGAGGAGGCGAGTCATAGAGTGGCTTGGTGGGCACTTGGCATGCAGCCAAGGTCAACCCATCACAACCACTACTAACCTATAAGGCATTTCTGTTGGTGCTACTTGTTACCCAAACAGTTAACAAAAAGTGCTAGTTGGAATAATACAACATACAAAAAGTACCGTTTCAGGGTCTTCCTAATTTTTATTTTTTTTCCTCATATTCAGAAATACATGTATTCCTCTAATCCTATCATACACCACTTGGTGTAGTGGGGTAGTTATTAAAGTACCTCAGTGAGTAACCAATAATTTTGTATTTTATTACAAATGCCTACACAATATTCCAAATGTTGAATACCTTATATGCAAAATGTGGAAAAATAAATTATGTATATAAGTAGAAGGCACACTGAGTGCTAAATATCCTGTATTATAGTTATCATACCTGGCATTTAGTTACTTTTGGTCATAATCACAAAACCCACTATCTATTTTGTCATAATTTTTAATACAGACTATAATTTTGATTATTGGTGTACACAATCTTATGAATAAAAAAGAAGAAAAAATCAATGATAATAAGAAAACCCCACTTTAAAAAAGATATTTGCATTTATATATTTTAGTCTTCCACATATTAAATTGCATTCAAAGTGAATTTCACAGTATTGACTCTCTAATTTGTTTAAAGTCCCATAAAAATGTGTATGTTTGTAGTATATTAAAAATATCCATTGAATGAAAACATACAATTACTATAATCAGGGAAACTATTAGAAAAAAGGAAGAAAGAGTGTGAAAAATCTTGTACCAAAAATTGATGGTCATTGCGATTCTTACAGAATTCTATTGTAAGTAAGGAGTTGATTAAAGTAAGAAAGACTATTGAAAACATTATATATCCTTTCTTATGAAGTTTGTGGTAGGAGTCTTCTGAAAGTGAGTACAATCTAGAAGTTTTGTGGATTTTTTTTTCTTGCACCTATACTTACATTAAAATAAAAAGTCCTAAAATGAATGTACTGTGTAATGGCATCATACTTAAACATAAAATACAAACAGGGATGCCTTCCTCTTTGGGTACAGCTACACTGCTTCCTCCAGTGCCCACATCAATGTAAGAAGTTCTTGTTTTCTTTCCTGTCTAGTGAAGGGATTTCAGTCCTGTATTCCTGTGTCTCCCAGGCATATGCTGAATCCATAAGCTAGTCTCAAGTTTGGTGCCAAATAAATTACCATCACTTGAAAAACTTCCCTAGCATTTTTGACCTGTCATAAACATTGTATGTCCATGCCATAAGGGAGAAATAGTTCCTTCAGTTTTCTCAGTTGTGATAATTTAATTTTCTTTATTTTTCTAGTGGAAAATAAAATATGTAGGATGAAGGATTTTGTATGATGGTTAGCATGGCTTCTTACCTATATAAAGTTGCAACTAATTCTCTAGTCAAATTCAAGGCTGGGAAATTACACTACAGCAAACTGCAGTGATTTCTGTATTGCTAAACAGAGTGTTAAAGCCAAACCAAAGATGAAAGGATTTTCTATAGTATCTTTTGTATTAGAAAATAATGCACCATCATGGCACTAACAAAAAAAAATTGTAGGAACTCATCTTCTCTCACAACTATTCTATTGTGTTTTACACAGATTCTTTTCTCACCTTACCCTTTCCAAAGTTTTTCCAATTCTTAGGGTGCAGATATACAGAACAGCAAAAGGAAGTGGACTGGCACTCCTCTAACCTCAGTCAGCCTGTCTAGAGAATTAAACACAAGCTGTTTGTTATTTCTCTCCAGCAGCTGGTTCCCAGTTTCCTGCAGTGGCCTGATCACTAGTATTCCCTTCCTAAATAATAAAATTTTTATTCCCCCATATGCTGTTTTACAAATTTCAAAGCTCCATTTTCCATCTCTCCCTTCCACCATACATGCCTGCAGTCCTCCTAATGCCCAGCTTCAAGGATTCTTTCTCCCCCATCCGCAGACCTATCACAGACACAGCTCCACCACAGAGAGAAGGAGTCTTTCAGAAAAAGTGGTATGAGGGGACCAGATTTTTATTTTGATTGCTATGGTGAAGAAAACATGTGGCCATTCTCTTTTTCGCCATTATTTGCTTTCCACCAAAACCAGAATGGATGACTTGTACAGGCATACACTTGTCAGTTATTACAGAGAACAGCTTTGTAAACTGCTCTATTGTTTCAGTGGGTGGAAACCAAGACACCAAAGATGAAGTCAATATTAAACTACATAATGTGTAAAACAAGCATGCAAACAGAAGAGGTTTTTTGAAGACCATAAGAAAACCTGACATTTGCCTCAGACCTGAAAGACACACAGGTGAGTAAATGTATACACGGATGGCTAGCCAGTGTGTCCTGTTTCAAAGCAGTGGGTAATAGTGAACTAACTCAGCCTTGAAAGCAAGCTAATGAATAGACAACTGAACAGTTTGCCAGTGAGTTATCTAAACCTTGAACACTCCTGGTAGAAGCAGTACAAAGGGTGAGAAGGGCTGAGCTCAACTATTTGGATTCTGTTGGGTAAATGTTATGAGCACAGCAGTGGCGTCTTATTATTGTGAGCATGTAAATGAAGGAACTGAATCTCTTTGGATAGTGAAGTAGGTACAGATGGTACTGGAGAAATTATTTCGCTGCTACTTGGAACACATGGGGCTGCACAAATATATCTGATCTGTTTTTAAAAAAGCTAGGAGTATTTCTGCCTAGTGACAGAAAGCACAACATATTAAAAAAGAAAACCTCTCTTTATAATAGGATCCAAACTAGTCAACATTCTAAGAAATGGTGAAAATCAGGAAAACTCTAGTCTGCTTATTAGTGCATTAGATTTCAAGACAGAACTCATTTCTGGATGCATGTTAAGACTATGGGAAAGTGGTGTACAACAAGGCAAGTTACTCATCCTTCGTATGAACCTAACTGACATTTTAATGAACTGAATTATGTTTGCATAAATAATTTAATGTAAAGTATAGTAAGGTTGAAATAAGAAAGGAGCAAAGCTGGCTAAATATTTTCTGCTCTCCAACCCTCACAGCTGCTGTTTGTCCCCTCTCCTCCATGCTGTTTTGACAGAAGACTGTGCCATGAATTGGGACAGGGAACTGGTATGGAAGAAAACGAGAAAACACTCTGAAACTAAAAAGTGGAAATGTCCACAGATGTAGGTGTTCTGTTCTTGTTAAAGCAGGAACTTTATTTTTTCACAGAAGTCACTCATTCATCATGACTACCATTCATAGTTATGTATGGCTTTTTAAGAGAAGAGCTTTGTTCTGTAGTGTTCTGAAGAAGGAATGAAAGTACTACTAAGCATGTTCTATCACTTATTCCAAGGCTAGTTCTTTTGCTCTTTTACCAGGAGGACTCTACAAGGATATACCATGTAGTCTAAGCTATTTCAGCGAAACACTTTCTTATGTAAACTGCCTATAGTAATAAAAAGTTCTATTATACTAGCAAAAACCACACATACAGAAAGCAGCGCAGGTTTGACATTATATCTGTGGTTCTACCAGTAGTTTAAACTGATGTAACAGTGCTGTTCCATGACTGGACCTTATGACACAGAACATTAATTTGCAATATAATTTAGAGCATAGAACATACTGTGAAACTTGTTCTGTTTTGGAAGGGAAAGGCAACCTTTTTTGATCTTTTTGCTACTACCTTTAGCAGGGGTGGCAGTGACACTGCAATTCAAGGTAGATAATTAGCCAGCCCACACAGAGCCTGATTACTTTCTAAGAGGAAATAATATGGAGAAATAGACTCAGAAAAACACAACACTTGATTCTCATCACCAAATTCTCACAAGAAATCACAGAATATGTGAAGTTGGAAGGAACCCATAAAGATCGAGTTCAACTCCCTGCTCCTGGCAGAACAACTTAAAAGTGAACTGTATGACTAAAAACATTGACCAGATGCTCCTTCAACTCTGACAGGCTTGATGCCATGACCACTTCCCCAGGGAGCCTGTTCCAGTGACAAACCACCCTCTCAGAGAAGAACATTTTACTAGTGTTCAATCTGAACCTCCCCTGATGCAGCTTCATTCCATTCCACACGTCACCGGAGAGAGATCAGCACCCATTCTTCACTGCCCACCTTGAGGAAGTTGCAGGCTGCAATGTTAAAACTGAACCACATTGCTGTTCATAAAATGACAAGTTTAGCCATTTACCTTGTTTCATCTTTTGTGTCTTTAACAAATTACTCCTCCAGCTACTTTCAAAGGAAAAGCATACAAATGATCTTCCAGATGCAGTCTTTTCAGTCAGATATCTATGACCAGAAATAGAACCTGATGGGGTTTTTTATTCCTTAGATGTCGAAGACGAAAATGATCTGTTTCAAATACAAAATTTAAAAAAATATAGAGTAGATGTGCATAAATACTTAAATTTATTGGATTTTTTCCCCCGAAAGGACATATCATATTGCCCATATGTGCAGACATGTGGGACTAGGGCTTCTCAAAATCCTGTCCTACTCAGATTACTTTTAAGCATCTTGATATTTTTTTGTCAGACCCATCTATATGAATAAAATCTAAAGGGAAAGAAAAGGTGTGGATAGTATGCAAAGAATCAGTTGTTCATTCTCGAATCCACAACTGGAAAATCTTTGTTTACTTGCTTCCTAACTTCTTGAATTAAAAGAGTGGATATGTGTATCTACTCTGAAGATGATACATGATAGTGCTGATAAATGCAGTAGACAGACACAAAATATTTCACAACACATCCTGGTAAGCATGTCATTTTCTAACAGGTACCCAAATAGGTTCTTCCAAACTCCCATATTCATTTGCTTTGCTAGGCATCCAGCTAATTTTTTTTCCCAATGGCTAATGTCATAAATTTTCTCAGAAGCTAAATGATTTGTGGATCACACAAGACTGACGTTAATGGATGACACAATTTTTTATTTTTAAACATAAAAATTGATTTGATAATGTGTATTGACTGCTTAAGCAAGAAGTATTTGACATATTTTAAATGAAAAGAAAACTGAACTTATTGATAAAGTTTTTCTTCTACAACTCACTGCTTTTCTGTCACCTTTATACTCTGGCTAAATCATTTATATGCCACAAATTCACAAATGAATAGTGATCGAGTATATGATTACTATGAATACACCATAGCAATGAATGATTTTCATTAATTCGGAACCACAATAATTCTTCCCATGAAAATTTTCTGTAATGATGAAGTGTTCTCTTCTGTCAGTATAGATTGTCATTAAAAACATTCAAGAAAAGGTTAAGAATGGTGGGACACTGGTGAAATAATCAAGGATAAAATGTGAGTTTGCAAAAATGGTCTTTGAGGTTTCAGCAAAGAATACTAAAAAAATTTCAAAACTAGCTAAAATAATATATTTCCCCCCATTTTTTCTTCAAAACCAGTTTCTTATGCTGCCACACATACTGAAATCTTCTGGATATCCATTTTGTATTCTTTATGAGTAAGAACTTGTCTGACTGTGCTTTATATTGTTTTTGCTATAACAACAACATACTGTTCCAGCAAGAAGATAGGATTCTTAAAGACAGGATTACTCAAGTTACATATTGGGGAAATAATAGAGTGGCACAGAAAATGGTGATATAGCAGCCATGAAGGTGATTTTACATCACCCTCAGACATTAAACAAATAGTTAGAACACTGGTATGTTAATGGAAAATTGTTTAAGTTACTAAGAAGGAAAGCTATTAAAAAACTCATAATGTCGAAAAATTCTTTAAGCTTTTAGTGATGGGAAACAGAATCATCCAGTGGAATGCAAACAAATGTTTCTGTCAGCTATAATGAGATCTGTTCTCTATTACCAAGGCTGTCATGACATGTTGTATTTGTGAGGTGGACTCTTGAAGAAGTCAGGTGTCTTTGTCAACAACGTGTGCCTGCTTGAGCTGCAGGTACCACCTGGATCACCTCTATCCTTCTGCTGCTTTTGATAGAAATGAGTCTTGCCTTTTTAATCATGTTGCCCAGGATGATTGTCTCTGACCCATATGCGCAGTAATACAGAGCCCTTATAGCCAGAGATGAGTCAGATCCATTAGGGCTGGACCTTCTCTTATAAATTCCAAGTCTGCATGAACTGATTGCAACACCAAGGATCCACAAAGTAAAGGAAAGCAATGAAGACTGTAGATTTCTGAGGTATGCAAAAATCAGTGAACAGTTCTCAATACTTGTAATGAGCCGTGTATTTCACCACAGTCTTTGAAACGTTCTCTCATTACTTTCTTGAGGCTTAAAAACATTACAGAGGAGACGAGTGGTGACAGCAGCATAGGCAGCACCTTCCTCAACATTTTACTATGAATTGTGTTCCCCACTTGTTTAATTTTGAAAAATGCCATTTGTGTACATCACAAATACCATTTGTGTTTTACTTTAGTATGTGAGAATGTCACTGGAAATGGGCACCTGCACACATTGTATGTGTGGAAAAAACAGAGGTTCTGCCTCCTTACCAACTGAACTTTATAATCGTATTTAAAAGAAATAAGAAAAAAAGAACAACAAAGTACTCAACATTACTATGTTTTAAATCTAGAAAAGGTGCAGCCATGAATGAATTGATCCAAAAAACCCCTTTGTTTGGGAGAGAAGAAACAGAATAGTTTCCTATGCCATGGCCCACATAAAGAGATTAATCCTAGAACCACTCAGTCACTACGCTGGATGGAAATGAAATAGGGGAAAGTGGCTGCTACAGCCATAGCAAGTATCTGCAGATGGGGGGCAAATAGTGGGCCTGCTCCTTTTGGCAACAGCTCACTTCCACATTATTTGACTGTAACAGGAGAGCTCAGCCTGAACAACATAGTGCAAAAAAAGTACATTAGTGCAATAAAAGTCTCTTTAAATTTCTAGAATCTTATGACTGCTTTTTGGAAAGGAGATTACAGGAAGAAGAGAGAACCTGGAAGGAGTAAGAAGCAAATAAACCACTTCTGTATTCCCCTGAACTAGAGAACACAGACAGCATGAAGCTGGGACAATCCTCCAGTCCACACTTGAAATAGGACAGGGCAGTAACGCTAAATCACAGCACTGAACAGTACGAGCGCTGACCCAGCCCTCCTCTCATTTGTGATACAGAGCTGTCTCCCTCCCTGCAGTGCTTTGTAGCAGAGCAAGTAGCCTGATGAACTCAAAAAACAGTGGTATCTGGCTGTAACACAGTAGAGCCTTCATCCCTGCATTCAAACCTGCAGTACTGCAGAGAGGGCCAGTCTGGCACAAGTGGAAAATAACTAAAAAAGAAGATACTCTTTGGCTTTTTTTTTAAATCTGTTTATTTTGTGGGGTAGTATCATGCTGTTTACAACACACACCATAATAAAGACTTACCTTTCAGAAGGAAATTAAGCACCCTGGGTGCTAATTTGGTTTGCATATGATCTTGAAATGTAAAAGCCTATAAAGACCAAATTTTGAAAACTACCTTTAAATATAAGAAGAGGACATTAGCTTTAATAATATTTCAAACAATTTAAGCATTAGTTAGTTTTCAAAGTAAACTTACCACCAACTTTTCCTGTGTTCAGTAAACAACTTTAGGGTTTGTTTTCCTGAAGATCCTGCTTCCTGTGAATACGTACTGATTTCTTTCCCAAATGCCCTGTGTTTCCAGTTACACAGATGATATTCCTTGCCCAACTTGGCCTTCCAGATTGTTCTGTCATGTGCCAAGCCTCACAATCCTGTAATGGGCTGTATTTCCACTCACTCTTACTTTGCCCTCCAATTACAGTGTTCTGGGTTTTGTTCTAAGCTGCAAGATGCTGCCAGGCAGCTCCAGTACCTCTCACCTTAAGAAAGACCATCACTGAATTTCCTAAACCTTGTTTTGTTTTGTTTATTTGTTTTGAACTATCCGTCTGGCTTTCAAGCTTAACCTAGAATTCTTTCTATATCTGGCATCCTCCACTGTGCCACCCCAAAGCTTGGCCTTCTATTAGCCATTACACTCACCTGATGGTCCTCATGAATTCCCACTTTGGACTTGAGCTTGTCGTGGGGACAGTCCAAGAAGAGTTTGATCCTGATGTGGCTTTCTTGCTGTCCCTTTTTGAAAGTTCCAAGGCAAGCAAGATCAAGAATTCTTGAGGCATGCTGGGATGAAACTAGGTCTGGAGTAATGGTATCTAAGTGAAGGTTGAGTGTTGTCAGAGGCTGATGAGTGCTATTGATCTGAGAGGAATTATTAGAGAACAGTTAATACAATTTTTAACAGGCTCATAATGTGTTTTTTTCTCTATCATCTTCCCCATGTACAAATATCAAAGAGATTAGTAGCACCTCACTTATAAACAAAGTGATGTTCCCAATGTCACAAAGTATTGCAGAATGAGATCTGAAATTTCTGCTGCTATCTCTTAATTCATAACCAAATTAAACACAGTGGAGTTTGTTTATGTTTACCTGTTCTTGTCTTAGTTTTTAATTTGCTGTGTATGCTATAGCAGCAGTTTTACTTGCACTTGGGACATGGAGAAAAATTTGAGAGAAATAATCAAATGCAGGTTCTCATTATAACGTTATTACATAATTTCCTCAGATTATATTTCTACAAAATACTGTAAATGCCTTATTTTCACATAAATTATTTTGTGTTATAACGACGTTATGCCTCTGACCCATAAAAATTATTTTTATGTCAAACAGGATGTTAATTTTCCCTGGCACCAGCAATTCCTAGGGCCCTTTGGTACCAGGTTTTGCTTATCCCCTTCTTGGGTCCCCAAGACCTTGTTCTGCAGTCCCTTGTCTGCTGCAAGATCTTGTCCTTGTAAAAAAGTTCTTATATTACTCCATTAGCAACTAGGACTGCAAGAAAACAGCAAACATGTACTACCTATATAGTGTATTACCATGTTTTGTTACTTCTAACACCACCATGAAAAAAGTAATTGGTTAAAAGTTGCTTTTAACAGTGATGCCTCAGAGCTTTTTTGATTTTTAATTTGTTATAGTTTTTAGAAGTAGATGTGTAGTGAATGTAGATTTTAATGTAGCTGTATTATATCCCTTACTCTGTAGCATAATGTTTACACATAGCAATTGATTTAATATCAATCTCTCTAAAATTCCATTAGCGTGTTTAGTCTTCTTTTCAAGGTAGAATTGTAGAAAAACACCTTAAGGCCTCAACCAGA